TAGTTTCACAACTGTTGAAACCGGACATGGCCTACGGTTAGATAGCTTGAAACCAATCGCCAAACATGCTCGCTCTTACAGCTGTGGGAGCGTTATTATGTGACAGTCAATCCCTCTATCCGTCGGTCAAGAGTTTGGTGGTGCTGATTAGTTGTCTTCCCTCCATGGACAGCTAACGTAGATAGTCTTCGAATAGTTTTTTGCGATAATTCAACAAAGAAACAAGCAAACAATGCATCAATGTTGGTGAGAATTAGAATTTTTAGAATCATAATATTTGAGTTTGATGCAAATTCTTGTTTCTAGAAAGCAGACAAAATGAAATAATTACAACAGTTTGGTTTAGAGTATGGGGAAATCTATATATATATATATATAACAAAGCATTCTAGAAATAGAAGAACTGACCAATACCTCACGTTATGTAATTTAAATTGATAACTAAGCTCAATAGAGCCTTAATTAATTTGGTACCTAAGTTTCGACTTATTCTCTCGAAACACTTATAACGTTTCTCAGCTTAAGTCAGGAGATATTTTACCTTAATTAAATTAAGAATTAGATCTTTTGTTTCTATAGAACGGGTCTATTTACCCCGGGTCTGGCATTTAATGCAATATGCAACAAGCTTATCGAAAACTACAAGGTACCTATAGTCACAGCGGTGGAACTGATCACATGCATCGTAACAGATGTGGTGGAGAAAAGTGCACAATTGGTAAATATGAATAATATTTTCTTTAAACATCTAGTTTATATGTGATAGTAAAAAAAAACCAACAACAACATATATTAAAAAAACAACTTTAAAGAGATAATCCACCCCTAGATGGAGTTATTAAATGTCCCTACAAAGTGTTACTGTCATTAATGTTCTCTTATTATAATCGGACAAAAAATCTTCAGGCTATGAAAACGTTTTATTGTGAGTGTCAAATAAGACTTGCTGTAAGATTTTGTGATTCTATTTTTACCGAAATGGGTTACTATTAGAAACTTAAGAAGGTTAGGATACTTAATTTGGGTTATGTTACTTTCATGTGAAACGAATAACGGTTGACGATAAAGTTAGGAAAGATCAAGTTATTTGATGCTATATGATTTAATTTTTATCATAATTTGCATATTATGTTCAGTATTTTGTTTATAAAAGTGGTTTCTGATATGTCAATATCAACTTAGTCCACACAAAAGCAAGAATAAAATAATTTAAACAAGGTTGGTTTATTTATGCAAAGTGTTGTTTTTCTATACCTTCGTTAGAGGTTGTGTCCTGGAGGTACTTAGCTCGATAATCAATGCTATTTCTAGGCTAGCTTAAACAGTTGAAATTAAATATTTGGTTGAACAATCGTCAAGTTTTTATGTATATTTATTTAAAGAAGGATAACGTTTGTAGTTAGCGCTCTTCGTCAGATCGTGCAGTTTACAACAAAATCACATCAATGCAATGGATCAGTACCCGTGATGTATCGTCGCTACATTGACGACACATTAGGGATTGCATCCATGCTACAAGTTCTTCAAATACCTATAAGATGATAGGTTTCTTTTTTGTGAGTGTAAAACACATAAATACACCAGTTAAATTTTCGATACCTCACTACTATAAAGGCTTGGTTTGGTCTGATATTTCATTAGTGGTAGTGTCCAGGGTAACTGATGAGGAGTTGAATTCTCCGAAACTAGTCTGGCTCACAGACACACACTCCAATGAAATAATAGACCATTCCAAGCTTTTACTTGTTGTTAAACAATGTTTAAACAACTCTATTTATTGTTAGCCCAGTGTCGGCTAACAACACGAAGATTTAAGTTGTGGCGAAATGCTACAAGTTTTTCAAATACCTATAGAATGATAGGTTTCTTTCTTGTGAGTGTAAAACACTTAAATACACCAGTTCGATTTTCTACACTTTGTTTCCTCTTTCCACCCCTCTTTAGAATTTACTTGGGAAATATCCGACAGAATACTCCCCTTTCTCGACATTAACATATACATACAAGACGACCATCTGA